GGGAGACAGATTTACAAAACACCCTGCTGTTACCATTCACCTTACTTCAATTACTGCGGATCAACAGGTGCGTTATTGATCTACTGGCGCGGCACATGCAGTAGATTTGCTGACCACACTTCAGAAACTCAACAAAAACTTCTCCTGCTATCAGCCACATAAAGATCTGACTCACTTCCACCCACCCTGGGGTTTTGCCACTATAGCATTCTTCCATCGGCTGGAACAAAACCCACCATGACTCAGCAAATACATAAACACCACAAACACCACGAGGGGTGCGCTCAAACAAAGGGAAAGGAGTCATATTTAATTCATAAGCTCTTGCAATGCAGGAAAACCAAGATTTTCCGATATTGTAAGGCCTGGAAGCTCCACGCAGCCGGCTCTGGAAGGATCTTGCTCTGACTACCAGGAAACGACAGCCAGGGCAAGGCGCAGCAGCCTCCACAGGCCCACATCAGACAGGAAGTAGCTGCTTAAGCTGGTTAATGTCAGTGGATATTTACTGTCACTGGGTGGGCTGTTGCATCCTGCAGGGCACAGCTGCATTTCCCATAGGACAGCTCCATCTTAATGGGCAGCTAACGCATAATGAAGCATGAGGGCGGAGACATGGATGCAGTGGTAGTGACAGCCAAATCCATTTTCTCCCTGGGAATTCTCTCTTCATAATTTACTGTAGCACCAGAGCTGTTTGTCTGCTCCGCGCAGAAAACAGGCTGTATGTTTTTGAACCAAAGGGGAATAAATGTTCTCGATTAGTGCTCTTATACTTAGAAATAAACAGCGGGGGTCCCTTGGGGAAAAATCCTTCAGTCCCCCAACCCCCAAGTATTCCTCAGTGCTTGTGAATCCTCTCATATTAGTTTGGCTATCATTAATACATACTGTGCAAAGCTCAAATAGCAGTATTTTATTTTGAAATGACACAGGGTTGCAGAAATTAAGAACATATTAAACCAGCTGGAATCCGGTTTTAATGATGTTTCTATTATTTCAGCACATATCCCACACACCCACACAGTCCAACCAGAAAGTATGGTAGCCTATAAGGTTCTATACAGACCCCTTATGGAACTGATCATCTTAGAGGTCTAGTAAATATATAGGATCCCTGATTGTTTGCTCACTTTATTAAAATGATTTCTGCATAGGTACAATTTCTGTAAGAGTCACTAGCTGTGGTCATCGATGGTCCTGCTCCTAAGTGTAAATAGTGGACATTTAAATGTCAGAAAAAACTGAAATAATTTCACAATGCTTCACAATTTCACAATGCTCCTTCGGACCCTGTGTCCATTGGAATGGACATGACATATTTTTGTCTCTAAACCAATAAACACTCTGTAATTGAAAGCAATGCTGGTTACTGATTGGATCCTGATTATCCAATCAAAATCATGTTATGACTTTGAGCACGTTTTGAGAGAGTGACAGACATCGGACAAGACAAGCATGGCGAGCGACTGCAGAGAGATAATTTAAATTGTTTACAAGTGATAATATTTGAAGTTATTTTGAACATATATCATATCATTAATTTATAGGATTTTTTCAAAGTCTGATGTCCATTGCAATGGACATCAGGAGTTGGGCAGGTTTAGCTAACGCTCACATGTTTAGTGTCAGTATATAAAGAAACAAAATACCTGTAAGCTTTTCATAGGTAAAGAAAGAAATAAAGAGCCTTCCTGTGAACATACACACACACACATAGCTAGCTAGAGAGGATGACAAGGTATTAATATGCTAGCGCTAGCTAGCTAGCTAGAGAGGATGACAAGGTATTAATATGCTTGTGCTTGCTAGAGAGGACAAGCTATTAATGTGCTAGCGCAAGCTAGCTAGACAGAACAAGGTATGAATGTGCTAGCACTCACTAGCTAAAGAGGACAAAGGATTACTGTGCTAATTACCAACCTCACAAAAATAATACTTACATTTTTACATTAGCCCATCTATTTCAACTTGTTACACAT